ATCTTTGGCTTCTTCCACAAGATTAAATACAAATATAATACAAAAAAAATGAATGTAACAACATTCATAATTAAGTAAAGATAACACCCTTTTCACCCCGGTTACATTTTCCATTTGCCCTGTACGATGGGCGCTGTAAGTGATGAAAGTGGGGGATGTTGGCTTATCAGGCGCCCGCAGCTCACAGCCAGCGTGAGAGAGAGAGAGAGATAGATAGATAGAGAGAGGGGGTGCACCGGTACCGGCGGGGATTGTTGTTAACGGCTAACGGATATAAGAAGATGTTTCTACAATAATGTGAAGGGAGAGTTCTCTCCTGTCCCCTCCCACCCAGGCCGATTTGGCCCCCTGCTGCTCTGATGGTAGTGAGCCGGGTCGGGCCCAGGGGCCTGGTGGAAGTTGAGGACTCGCTCGACCGGCCCGACCCAGCCTGGACAGCCGTGTTGGCTGCCTACACCACCGTGTTCATCCCCCTCAGCAGCGGCCTGTACAGCAGCAAGGCCCTGCACTTTTTCCTCTGGGTGAGTAGGGAGAGAGGGGGAGACAGATGGCAGGAAGACAGAGATGGTAAAAGAGGTGCAGGATAGTAAAGTTTGCCTTTGTGGTGGTTTTGTAATGATTATATTTCAACATCCGCTAGATATGCACCAGGTTGTTTTGACAGTTAATTGTGAGTTGAGAGAAATATGATGAACTATTTATTTAGGCTGGTTTTAGGGACTTTAGGGCTTGTTCTATGGCTCTAACATTCTGTGGTGTTGTCCATCTTAAGTAGTTATCATATTGCCAGGATGTTATCGACAATCAAGTTTCAAGTTGTCTCAAGAAAAACTAACCAATAATGTACTGTGACGTGTCTCGCAATGTGAGGCTTTACTACTTTTTCTGTTTTGTATCATTTTAAACTTAATATCTTCGGTCCTTTTTTATAAAGAAGCTAGAATTTGATGGATTTCTATATATCCTGAAGTAACAGCTAAGTGATTAATCTCAAGAATAACTGGCATATCAATTAAGAAATATTTTCTATTTCCAAGGACATTGGGTCTTTTCATTAGTGTTAAACTGTCGGGGTGTTGTAATGCTTCAGTTTTAGGATATGCAGAAATGGGTTGATGAGTGGATGAAATTAGTTGATTGGTTTAACAGAGAAAAAGTACCATGTTTTTGTGCTGCTTTTCACTCTTTGAAATACCACTATTTTGAATATATTTAGGTTTTATACTGTTTCAGTTGACCAACTGATCGAAAAGAATATTGGACAGATGTATTAGGATATATCCAGCGTTGTTCGTCCGGCTATAACACTGTCTTTGTTTCAGGGACTTTTGAACTGTATATTGCCTCTGAGCTGCTGTTGTATTGATGTTCAGAACACACGGTTTCGTGTTGCTTTTTAGATGCAGTTTGAAAGGCCGTTATGTTCTTCTTTGTGGTTTTAGTCGAACAGCTTGGGCAACAGGCGTCATGTTATTGTATGCGCGTTGTTGTCCTGTATTCATGCCTCTTCATTCAGCCATGACAAACATACATGCACACACTCTTCCCTAACCTTTCAGCCATGTGCTGCTCTGCTCCCTCTCTGTGTGTGTTTTCTCTTTCTTTTATAAACAGTGGGTTTTCCTGCCTGTGGACCTACCGCGTATTTATGAAGCCTGACACCGGGTCAGGCTTCATTCTAGAAGGACCTCTCATACCTAAACCCCCCCCCTCCTCTCTTGTTCTCTTACTTTAGGCTCTTTGGGAAAGAGCACAAATATGTTGCACAGGATTTTATGTCAACCTTTTTAAACAGCACTGAAGAGCGATGATCGGAGGGATTTACTGAGCTTCACAGGGGATGCAGGGATGGAGCGATGGGTGGATAGAAAGATAACACACCAGGTGGCTGAATGCCAGCAATGAGGCCTGCACTGTGGCAGTGTGGACAGCCTGGTCAGCAAAACTCAATGCAGCCTCACACACACACACACACACACACACACACACACACACACACACACACACACACACACACACACACACACACACACACACACACACACACACACACACACACACACACACACACATCTCTTTCTCTTTCACACACTGGGGCGGCCATAGTTGAAGTGCTGTTTACCCCATTCTTAGGTTGCTGTGCGGTTGCCATGACACCCGGGTGATTGGTCCTCTAAACATTGTTCAGGATGGGAGAGAGTCCGGCACAATTGATACGGCACCATTGTCTCGGACAGCACAAAAGAGTTGGCTGCAGATGCCCTTGTTGTGTGAAAAGATTTGAGTTTGTCTACCAATGCAGACTGCTGGCCGCCGTCAATGATTACCGTAGATTTAATCTTAAAGGGGCCCTATTACGCTATTATTTCCAGGTTCACATTTGTATTTAGTGACTCTTCTGGGACATGTCTCCATGCTTTAATGTTCAAAGAGCTCTTTATTTTTCTTATACTGCCTGAGCTGCAGCACCTCTTTTCACCCTCTGTCTGAAACCAGAGCCCAGTTTGCTCTGATTGGTTAGCTGATTGGCTCTGTTGTGATTGGTCAATCGCTTAGAGGTGTCCTGTCCCTAAGCCTATCACATACAATGTGTTGAAGCGCTGCCCAATAGAAGCGCAAGTGTTACATAGTGATGTCACTATGATGCGGAAGTAAATAAAGGAGTCCAATGGAGGTGTTTCAGGCAGGGGGGGGTGGGAGAGAAACTCTGGGATTTAAGCCTTCGCAAACCATTTGCATGCACAAAAACCTATATAACACACTACACTCAGGGGTGCCCACACTTTTTCAGCTTGGGAGCTACTTTTAAAATGACCAAGTCAAAATGATCTACCTACATTAAAAATGCTAAACATATATTTATTTATATTTACTGAGTATACCTTATGTTGGTGTACCTTGCATAACTGCATGAACCCGTATGGCACAATACAACTCAATACATTTTTGGTCATTAAATCAATCCTACGGCAGCTGGCGCGGTTGACCGCGCATGCATGGTGAGCTGCGTGTTAGAAAAAGATGAGATCTCAGACTGGCTTACCTGTACGTCAATCAAGTGGCAAATGCCATAGTAATGATGGATTTTTCAATGCCATGCGATCTACCCACACTACCTTTGCAATCGACGTATTGGGCACCCCTGCACTATAGGAAAGGGAAAACCCCCAAAAGCATAATAGGGCCCCTTTAATCTCTCTAAGTGATTACAATGACACGTTTGCTGCCTCATTGAGGTCTATACAGAAAATGACTTCAGGTTTTCCCTTTTGTGCCGCCATTTTTTCACTCTTCAACAACCTACCCCTCCTTTTAACCTTTAACTCACACAGTTGAAGCAAATGAAAGAGCTGGAGCAGGAGAAGGACTCTCTGCTGGCGGGCCTGGAGGTGGTGGAGCGGGCCCGAGACTGGTACCAGGGCCAAATCCACAATGTGACCGAGAGGCAGAGGCAGGTCGGCCAGAACTCCCACTGCACGGTCAGTTCACACTCACTGGTCTAAAGAGCTCAGATGTAAAGTATTGGAGATGAGGCCTGTTGTGTTTCGTTGTTTGATGATTTTTAGTTTTATTGATATAGATAGAAGGACAAATGTCGAAAATATCTTGGCATATGAGGATATATCAAACGGATATATATAATAAAAATGTAAAGCTGTTGAACTGAGTGTTTTGGTTGTTTTGTTCTAAACCTAAAAAGACTTTTCTGACCGTTATAAAGAATGCAAAATGAAGGCATTTATTTTTTGAGGATAAGGAAAGGAAGTAATTTATTCTTAACTGAGTGCTTCAGTGTTTTTGATATGCACTGGCAGCAAAAAAATATCTTCTATATATTGTTTAAAAAAACACATAATGTTCTTCCTCAGAGTATTTCCTTATTAGTTTATATTAACCTGCTTTACCAAAGCTTGTCATTGGTTTGTTAAATAATCATCCCACTTTATAATGACATTTCTATGACCTTTAACTACTTGTATCCATCACTGCTGTATTTACATAATGTATTTTATGTTCTCTCCTCACAGGATTTCTTCACAGAAGCTAATCAGAGTCGCATGAATGTCCTAATACCCAAATTGCAAGAAGTCAACCGCTGCCTTAATGACCTTATTTCCTGCTCTGGGATGGTGAGTGCTGACTGCCCCATTTCATCTTTTGCATTTATTGTAAATCTAGCTAAATTAAATGTTCTTAATGTCTCACAATCTACATCTATTGTGAATATAAATTATCATATGGATGGACTTCTTCATTTTAAAGATCACCTGGTCAAATGTGACCTTTTAAAACCAAAGCACTGTTTTAAATATGTGTGGACAAAGTTATTATTTTCTATCATATCACAAAGGAGGTAAACGTCATACCTGCCAGACATCAGCATGTTTACACTGTCACTGTGAGCATGTTTGTATGCTAACTGCTGTGCCTAGGAATAGCCTCTGTGTCTTTCATGTTTTGTAAAGCACTTTGAATTGCCTTGTGTTGAAAGGTGCTATATAAATAAACCTGCCTTGCCTTCAGAGCTGCTAACATGGCTGTAGACGAGAACAATTATATTGTAGGTTAATTATAAACTATTCTTTGATTCCTTTTTGTTTCTCAGCAGTCATTTCCCTCCAACGCTGCTCAGACTGCCGCTAACCCGCAGCCACCGGTTCCAGCTCCCCCACAAGCCATCCTGAGACTGAAGGACCAGAACCGACTCCTCACGCAGGTTAGACCCAGTCTGCACACTGCCAATACATAGAAGTCACTAACAGTTACCAGTCAGTGGATGTTTTCAGTGAATCACTTTATCCATTTTCTGAACTCTGTGCCTCGATAAACCTTCATCTGTTTGTCCTCTTGCAATTTACTTATTTATCTAAATAGTTATCACCATAATAAACCGTATTTAATTTCATCTTAATGTACAATATTTAATTTTACATTATTTTCTTGTATATATCATTCAATTTACGTGTATATAGACTTCTTGCACTATTTTTTATTTGTATTTTTGTATTTTTATTATATATGTTCCATTGTTGGAGGAGCTTGGGTCAGAAGATTTTCATGCCATTTCTACAATGTAACTTATGTTATATGGTACGGTATATGGTTTATGGTTTATGGTTTATGGTATATGGCATTAAAACCTTTGAATCTTGAATCTTCTCAGGAGGTGACGGAGAGGAGCGAGCGCATCACACAGCTGGAGCAGGAGAAGTCGGCCTTGATAAAACAGCTTTTTGAGGCCCGAGCCCGCAGTGCGCAGGACACCAGCACCATGGACTCCACCTTCATCTGAAAACAGATACATTCCACCTCAAACTATAGCATGTTAAGAACCAGCTAAGAATTTCCATGACGCTGGTCCCAAGCTACCTTTGATAAGACTGTCAGCTGACTGTTGTTTACCCGCAGTGATGCACCTTTTAGCCATGCCACGCCCACACCCTGGACTGCAGCATGCAACCACTCCACCCCAAACCAAACCATGCACTACCTAGATGTGAACACGCCGAGAAAACCTGACCCGAATGACTTGAATCAAGATTTTTATTCACTTCCTTTCCTGCATTAAAGGTCCCATGTCATGCTTTTCTGGTTATTACCCGTCCCCTTGTGTGTTATATAGCTTTTTATGCATGTAAACGGTCTGCTGAGTCAAAAACCCTCAAAGTACACCCTGTAGCGAGTAAAACTCTAACAGAGAAAATACCTGTCTATGCTGCCCCAGAACGCCTCGTTGGACATTTTTATTTTTCCATTTGTTTCTTCCGGGAACCAAGTGACATAACGACGATCCAATGGACCAACTGGTCCAAAAGGACCAATCCGCGGAGCCGTTACGTTACGTCCGCGGAGCCGTTACGTCAAGACCAATCCGCGGACTTCCTCACACACACACTCAATCTTTTCTCAGGCAGCTGCAGCTCCGCGGATTTCTCAGCCTGAGACAGCGGGACGCGGCGCCAGGCTGCGGGTGTGTGTGCTCGGGCTTTTTTCGGGCTGGGTTTCGCTGTGTCTCGCTGTCTCGCCGACCCCACGCAGCAACCAGGAAACCACACCAGTAAGCCAGCTCACACTGTCTGCTCCTCGCAGCAGCGAGCCTCGCAACGTCCCGCCAACACGGCACCCAGGCCCCACGCAGCATTCTCATCTGTTTGTCCTTACTGGTGTCCTTTTCTGGTTGCTAACGCCATTGTGACACATAATAACTGATGTTTTGCTGTAACGGTGGTGGACTCATCAGAACAGAGTGGGCGAGCTGACCAATCAGAGCACACTGGGCTCACAGGGAGGGGGGGGGCAGGAGCTCCAACAAGCCATTTAGGACAGAGAGTGAATACACATACTATACAGAGATGCTGTATGAGAAACCAATGTGATTTTGGAAAATTGCACAATGTAAATCTATTCTAGTATACCTCAACAATGGAATTATGATCAATAGAAATGGCCATGTCATGGGACCTTTAACACTCCAACTAAGATACAAAGATTTCTGCTGGAATTAAATGCCATGTTCTTACAGTTAAATATGAAAATCACCAGCTGCATCTGCTTGCTATGACCCATCAATTACATTTTTGTTAGTTTGGAACTTTGATTGAAATGATAATAAGATACACTTTGCCCAATGTCTTTCAGTATTTCTTTCCTTTTAACGTAAATGAATATGTTTACCTTACATTGGCTTTCTGGGTTTTTAGCATGTTCGATTTGAAACACTGAGGGACAGGGATTACTGAAAATATTTGTTTTATATATTATAGAAGCATGTTTACTGTTAGGACCTTTGGTGAGTTTTAAGGATTTTCTTTAAGATTGAAAAGAGAAAAGATGGGAGGACAGCCTACAAGCCATTGAGATGTAGAGGCAGAGGTGGACGAGAGAAGTTTGGAAGTTTGCACGTAGACGAGAACTGAGGAAGACAAACATGGCAGGCGGTGAATGTGTTGGGGCCCGAGCTCCGTGGTTGGGAGATCTTCTGATGTAACATCAGAAACTAAAGAAAATCACTTTGGCTACCTAGTGCTATACCCCCTGTATATCTTTACAGTGAATTATTGCATGGCTCATATTTTCAGCTAAAGAATATTTATCTTTTGAAGAGATTTCTGTTTAAAACTTTGAGATTAGCACAGATCTAAAAAACTGTTTTGTCACTGTAAATTCCCCTCTTTACCAGGATTGGTTGACTTTAGACTAAAAGTATAAAAATATTCGGCCATCCACAAAGTTTACATGAGAAATATTTAGTTAGTGGGTGGTGGTAGAAGAAAAAACATTGTAGTTTTATAATGGATCTGTACGGTACTGCTGGGATGTCTGCACATAGCATATTGTTGATGTATGTTTCCCACTTGTTTGACTGTATGTTTTTTGCTGCTCAACCTACATTATGTGAGTGAAACTCTTTTTCTTCAGCTTCCTATCAAAACTTCAGATGAAATGTAAAATAATAAATCTGACCAAACAACGCTGACTCTGTTGTTCTTTACAGTACTGCAATACAATATCACCTATATCTAAGTGTAAAACTATTGATTTTGAATAATAAAAAGCAACACACGACAAACATCTTGAAATGTCATATTTTGAGAAAACTGCTATACAAACAAAACGACACACAATAGCTTAATCAGGATAATCTTTTTATAGATTTTTGTAAATATATTGTAAATCAAACCTTATTTCTTATTTCTGAAGTCTATCAAAAACTAAATTCAGCTACTCTAACCACTCAGTATTTGTACTTATTTTTAGTCATGGGAAGTGTTTGCAAGTGTCTCTATTTAATTAGCGAGTTGTTTAAAATAAAAAACTTTCCACAATTATATCTGTCAGCCGAGTGTCTGTTCATTTCGGTTGTTATTCTGCCATAAATTAGGGAAATGTCCCTGGACATTGAGTATGATCTGATGTAATTCATGCACCACATTTCCACTTCACCCTCAGATGTGATTAGCATAGCTTGTTTTAATGAGGAGTATAACATGAACCCATTAATTTCATCACATCTATGCACAAACATTGTATAATGTCACATTTTCCATAAAAAAGTTTGATCTTAATCTCACCCAATAGCTGCTAGAAAAACTATTTGTACTATTTGTAGAATGAGTCTTTATACTACTGTTTGTGATGGGAAAATAAATTCATATTACAAATCTGCAACTGCCACATTTTACTGTGTTTGTGGCATTACAACATCCAGATCTTCCAAAGATCTCTAAATTGAAGAAGCAGCTCTGTGTGTTTATGGTCTGGTGCAGAATTTAACAGACCTGTGAGGATTTTCTACTTTAGAGGAGGGACACACATCTCCTGTGAACCTGACACCAGTACAAACAAGTTCTCAGACTGAAGAAAAGCAAACCTGGGTCGAGTTGCATCAGCCTGAAACACACACAGACCTTACCTGAAACACACACAGATCAACATAAACTGCAGGACACTAACCAGTTGATTAATTCTAAAATATATAAAAAGCCTTTATTTTAACATTGCATTCTTATTCTGAGATTAACACGATTATATTATATATGTACTATATTAACATTGGTGGGGGATGTTCATTTTGTGATTTTCTTAATTGAAGCACATTTTGGGATTATTTACTCAAGTATTTAAAATGTCTGCTGCTTATAGTACTACATTAATTTGAAAGCTTAGTTACTTTTAGATTGTGATAAAGAAAACAAAATGTAATCAACCAATTTATCGTTTTATTTTAAAATAAGAAGTTCTCAATCAAATATAAAAGTGATTTAAACAATAACGTTTGAACTATTATAATCCAATCATATGATACCATACATTATTCTGAAATAATCAATTTAGCAAAATCAGTAATATTACTTTTGACACTTATGCAAGTATGTTTTGATGCTATTACACATACTTTTACGAATGAACCTCCGTAACATTTCTGAGTACTTCTCACACCCACTGCTTTCGATGTCTAACCACTTTGAGTCAAAGGTCAAAGGTCACCTGTAAGGTCATTTAACCCTTGTATGGTGTTCATATTTGTTTTACTCAGCCAGTGTTCGTGGGTCTGGTGGACCCGCTGCCATTTTGGGCTTCAATTCAACACAATCAAACTATTTTATGTTAAAAATACTCAACAGATGTTTACTTCAGCTCAATTACAAGCAATATAAACAGCATATATGGTTAATATTGGCCCTTTTACTTTTGTTAGATCACATTAATGAATTAAAGTGCTACTTGAATACACACACACACACACACACACACACACACACACACACACACACACACACACACACACACACACACACACACACACACACACACACACACACACACACACACACACACACACACACACACACACACACACACACACACACACAGAAGGCCCAGACAGATGCACAGGAAATACAATTTCCACACTTTTGTTAGCCCCGGGTCCAGACCCGAACACCCTGTATGTAATGTAAATGTGTAGGGGGGTGTACAGTGGGTGGTCATTGAAAATGTGTTCTGATATATTATTATGTTCTTCACAGAAAATGAGCCAAGGCCATTGAGTGTGAGTTTGAAAAAGTAATTGATCATATCATTTTTCTTTACCTAAATAATGAAAACGGGTCCCACAGACCCGAATACCATACAAGGGTTAACAATCCCTCAAAATACAACACTATATGTAGATGCCATGAACATGACTCAGTAAAACAATGAAAAACCTACCGTGAGTGTGATCTGCAGTTCTCAGTGGAGATCCCCGTACCTGAGCGGAGAGTTGGGTGCAGCACATTCAAACCGACGGACATCACACCTTGAACATGTCAGCCTCAAGTAACATATTACACATCGTTACACTGAATTGAATCAGAAGTCATTTTCTGGACGGTTGCATCAGTTGTTTACTGACGATTTTTCCGTCAGGCACCATTGGTTCGTTGCATCATTGCCAATCGGTGTGAATGGATGATGGCTTGCCACAACACGTCCGAACACAAACCTGTTTTCATTGTTTTTCCACCAACTACTTTAGACACTTTTCTATAATTCGTTTTCATCCTTTTTTAAATCATTAATCCATCCTTCTCTAATGATTTATTTCATTTCCTCCTTTTAATTGAGTGATGGATGTACATGGTGCCATACCAGACAGTGTGGCTCCTCACCCTCCACTACCCTCGTCTCAAAGCTGTGTTGGATGATCAGGATCCCTGAAGTGTTGGGTCATCTTTCAAAATATGTTTTCCATGCACTTTGAAGGGAGGGCTCAGTATTCACTCACACTTTGACAATCATACCAAGGAGTCACACAAGGAGAAGGAGGAGAGAGGGGACACCAGGTGCAGCAGTATTACTTTTCTTTCTCAGGTGAGTGACATGTTGGTTACTTCTGTTCATTTAAACACTAGTTGTACATGAATGTTTTTATTTCTTGGTACAGTTCTTCAGTCTTGTAGCTGTTGCTTTTATAGCGGCAATATTCTGCAGACTTCATTAGATTAGTTTTGCAGGTGAACAGGGCGTCTTTATTGTCAGGTTACATATTTGCATGTTTCCCTTAGATACAGAGATAGACTAAATGTTGACCGGGTTGAAACATATAGGAAGACATGCAAACATTTTGGAAGGCAATCAAGCAATTGTCAGCCCTT